AATGGCTTCCAGACCCACCGGCCGGCCGGGGGCAAGCGGCGGAACAGCTGCAACGTGGGCTTCAAGCACCCGGCCTCCAAGCGCCGGCGCCGGGTCAACTCCGAGTGCGACCCGGTGCTGCCCTCCGAGTTCCTGCTGGGGGGCAACATCTTCGACCCCCTCAACCTCAACAGCCTCCTGGACGAGGAGGTGAACCAGGCCCTCAATGCTGAGACCCCCAAGTCGTCGCCGCTGCCGGCCAAGGGCCGCGACCCGGTGGAGATCCTCATCCCCAAGGACATCACGGACCCGCTCAGCCTCAACGCCCAGGACGGCGACGCGGCCCTGGTGCTGGCCTCGCCCTTCAAGACGGGCCGCAAGCGCCACCGCCACCGGGGGCAGCAGCGGGGCAGCGGGGGCGGGCCGGGGACTGTAAGCCGGCTGCCTGCAAAGCCTGTGACGCTGCCTGCCCCACCCCACAGCCCTACGAACTCAACACGGCCATCAACTGCAGGGACGAGGTGGTCTCCCCGCTGCTTCCCCTGGCCGCCGAGGGTGCGGGCTGCGTCACACCCTCTTGCGCCTCCTCCTCCAGCAGCCGCCACCACCGCAAAAGGCGCCGGACTTGCAGCAAATCGGAGGCGGCCGGGGGAGCCAAGCTGCCGCCGCCTCCCCCCACCCCGGGTGGGGGCAAAGGCGGGGGCCAGCCGGGCAAGAGTAGCCCGGAAAAGGGCAAAGGGGCCGGGCGGCACCAACAGTTGCCCACGGCCAAGCGGAGGCGTCAACAGAGGAAGTTCCAATACGGCAACTACTGCAAATACTACGGCTACCGGAACCCTAACTGCGAGGACGCCCGGCTGCGTGTCATGAAACCTGAGTGGTTCCAGGGCAAAGAGGTGCTGGACCTGGGCTGCAACGTGGGGCACCTTACCCTGAGCGTGGCCAAGAAGTGGAAACCCGCCCGGGTGGTGGGGCTGGACATAGACGGGGCCCTGATCCACTCGGCCCGCCAGAACATCCGCCACTACCTGTCCGAGGAGATCCAGCAGCAGCAGGAGGACGATGAGGAGGTGCCGGAGGGAGCTGGCTCCAAAAGGCGGAGGGGCTGCTTCCCCGCCTCGCTGGCAGCCAGCAGGGGGCCCATTGCTGCCCCCCGGGTGCCCCAGGACGGGGCCGGTGCCGCCGACTTTCCCGACAACGTGATCTTTGTGCGGGTAAGAGGCCTAGGATGTGTGGGGGGGGACGGCCCCACCTTTTCGGGGTGCAACAGGTGTGGGTAGCAGCCGCCCACTCAGCGGCTCTCAGTGGGAGGTCACACAACAGCCTGGAGACACGCCCCCTAAAATCCGGGGGTGGGAGGGACTGGTGGTTGGTAGGAGGAGCCCTCCCATCCCATTTGAGAGGGCGGTAAATACCTCATCTCCTAGGCCGGCCAGTGGCTTATGGGCTGGTAGGTCACGCAGGCCTTGCCTGGGGGGGCCGTGTTCAGGTGATGGGGGTGGGTGGACTATTAACGCAGACTATTCAGGGTGAGAGACTCCATCTTACTGGGGGGCGGGGGCGGGGGTGCATGCGGGGGGCAAGGATTCCCCTGCGCTCAGGAGGCCAGTGCAACTACCAAGATGGTGCCACCGGGGAGGGACCGGTTAAACAGCTCCGTGAGGCTTGCCTGGAGGTCTCCTGGCTTGTTTCAGCAGAGCCCCTCGGGCGAGGGGCAGCCGAGTTGTCCGTCCATCCCCTCACAGAGTCAGAATTCCCCACTGGAAGCAGGAGAGAACAGAACTGTGTGTGGTGGGGGCGGTGCCTGTGACCTTGGCCAGTTTGGTTTACCCCTGCCTCGGTTTACCTGAAATGGGCTGGCCAGAGATCTGGCCGGGAGGGTAGCTGGGTTGGGTCAGTTTCCCGGGGTGGCATTTCTGGCTTCTATCTGGTTCCTATTCTCCACTCTCCTCTTGACCCTATGCCTCAGTTTCCCCACTGTCCAATGCTGAGCCTTGCGTGAGGCTCACGGGAGTTAAGGAGCCTAGCTCCGAGGACTGGAATTCCCCTAACGATCCTTACCAAGCCTCCGCCCGTGTGCTTTGAGATCTGCCGCCGAATGGGCGGAGAACAAGACGCATCGGGGGGGGGGGGGTTCTATGCGCAGGGCCGAGAGAAATCCAGCGGCCGGTATGCAGAGAAATGTTTCCCGGGCCGTGTAACAGCTGCGAAGCTGCGATCACCTAGATCTAGCCCGTGACAGTATGGCGGGGAAGCAGGTTCTCATCTCGGGGGGATAATCTATACGCTGGCAGATGGTCCTGCAGGGCAGCCTGTCCCCGGCAGAGCTCCCTAGGAAATCCCAAAGCGGGGCACGCCTCCCCCATGGAACAGGAGTGCAAATACGCCCCGCCGCTCTGCGAGGCGGCGCTGGGGGCTGAGGGACGCTTGGCATATCTGAGGGGTGTTGAGGTGACCGCTCACGGTTCTCTGAAGGCAGGCGCATTGGCTAGCAGCTGGAGGGAGGGGAGTCAGGACTCTTGGGTTCTCTTCTGGTGCCTGGACGGAAAGTGAGCAGAAAGCCTCCAATCGCCCTGAGCCTCCCGTCTGTCGGCCTGGTGCTCGCAAATCAGCCAGAGCCCAGCATCCATTCCCACTCAGGCCTGGCATGGGACTACGAGTCCCAGCAGGCCGTGCGGCCAGCAGGGCATGCTGGAACCCATAGCGTCACCTCACCCAGAAGGCTTGTGGTAAAGATGCCTGACCCCTTCCAGCGCCTGAGGCTCAGGCAGGGAGCTTGCGGGTGGGTGAATTTCTGTGCTGGGTCCAGACTCTGACTTAGAGACGCCAGCAGCTGGAGGTGTAAGAATAGAAATCTTTAGGGGGTCCCATATCTGGAACCACCGACCCCCAACTGAGATCAGGGCTTCCCAGACACCACCCTGACCACGATTGGGGACCCCCTTTGTGCCACCAGATCTCCCTCCCTCACCCAGACCCCGACCTCTTTTGTGCCAGCCGCTGCCCAGACCCACCACCAGACAGCGTCTGCCCTGAGGAGCCACCCATCGAAATCCCCACAGGATGGGAGGTGAAACTGAGGCACGGCGGGGAAGTGACTGGGATCACCCAGTAGATGGTTGATTAATGCAGCCAAGCGTCTAGAGAGAGAAATGGGTCACGGACTGAACTCCGTGGGGGGGGGGGGGGAGATTCGTGTAGATGCCCCCAGCATCTACACCCACTGCCCCGAACCAAGGTCCAATCCCAGCTGTCATACAATATCAGGGTTGGAAGGACCTCAGGAGGTATCTAGTCCAGCCCCGTGCTCAAAGCAGGACCAATCCCAAGCCAGGCCTTAGAAACCTCTAAGAATGGAGATTCTGGCCACTAGTCTGGGGTTTGGGACTCGGACGCCTGGGTTCCTTCCCTGGCTCTGACCCTGCTGTGTGGCAAGGTGGGTCTCCCTGCCTCAGTTTCCCCTCCCATTCTTTGGATCAGAAGGTTTTGTGGGGAGGGTGTGTCTGAGTTGGGCATGAAAGGGGGGGGGGCGTGTCCTGATCTTTACCTTTATGGGGACAGAGAGGGCCCATTGAGCTCTGGGGGCTGTGTGGCGTTGGGGGAATTCCAGATAGCTGAGGGGAGCTGAGTGGTGTGGGCCCTGGAGCAGTGGCAGGAGGGGTCTGGGAGGCTACAGAGGGCCCTGATCTGGGGGTGGAGGCTGTGTGGGAGGGCCCCCAATCTGTCTGGAGGGGGGGGGGCTGATATCTGGGGGGTGCCATGGAAATCAAACATCCCCCTTAGGGCTGGGAGCCGGGACTCCTGGGTTCTCTCCCTGGTTCTGGGAGGGGAGCGGGGGCTGGTGGGTTAGAGCAGGGGGGCTGGGAGCCAGGACTCCTGGGTTCTCTCCCCGGCTGTGGGAGGGGAGTGGGGGCTGGTGGTCCAGAGCAGGGGGGCTAGGAGCCAGGACGCCTGGGTTCTCTCCCCGGCTCTGGGAGGGCAGTGGGGGCTGGTGGTCAGAGCAGGGGGGCTGGGAGCCAGGACGCCTGGGTTCTCTCCCCGGCTCTGGGAGGGCGATGGGGGCTGGGAGCCCGGGGTCTCCCAGCACGTGCTGGGACTGGCTGGCTCCCTGGCCCCGCCCGTCACTCTGCCCCGTGCCCGCAGGGGAACTACGTGCTGGAGCGGGACGAGCTGCTGGAGACGCAGGGCGCCGAGTTCGACGTGGTGCTGTGCCTCAGCCTCACCAAGTGGGTGCACCTCAACTGGGGGGACGACGGGCTGAAGCGGCTCTTCAAGCGCATCTTCCGCCACCTGCGGCCCGGCGGCCTCCTGCTGCTGGAGCCCCAGCCCTGGTCCTCCTATGGCAAGCGCAAGAACCTGACGGTGAGCGGCGGGCGGGCAGGTGGGCGGGGGGAGTCCCCTGGTGGCGGGAGCTGGGAGCCTGACGCCTGTCTCCCCTCCCCAGGAAACCATCTACAGAAACTACTACCGCATCAAGCTGAAACCGGAGCAGTTCCCCTCCTACCTGACCTCCCCGGAGGTGGGCTTCTCCAGCTGCGAGCTGGTGGCCAGGCCCTACAACAGCTCCAGAGGTGAGAGGGGGACCCACTTGGGCGGATAACTCATCTGTCAGGCCGGCCTGCTGGCAAACTGCCACCAGGCCAAATAAGCCGATGGCGGATGACTGCCATCGGGAGAACTGAGTTTTTCTGACCTGTAGGGAAACTCCACAAAATTTGGTTTTGTCCCAAATTGGGGCCAAAAAGTCCAATCTGTAAAGGAGAAAATTCCAAAAGACTGAGAAACGTTGCCTGTTTTGTGTTATCAAAGCTAAACTATTGAATGTGGTGTTGCAGTGTTAATTTAGTTTTGATAATACAAGAAGTAACATGTTCCTTTCATATTTGTAATATCAGACTTGGCAGAATTTGATTTCAGGGGATAGTGAGGTTTCTTTTTAAGCATTCTTTTCGGTTTTCATCTCTTTTTACCCGTTCACGGGTGTGTGAAATTTTGGGAGAAGGATTTAGTGACCGTAGATGTTGAGACAAAAAGTTAAAGATTTATAAACAGTTGAAACAACTGGTCAAGGCCCTCTGTTGAAATACACAACGTCAGCGTCCTTAAATCAACAAATCCAGGCTGCGTTTAGTGTGCGTTGGCTAGTGCATTTGTAATGAGGCTATTTCCGAAGTCACTGTGCTCTCAGGTAGGATTCCCCTTCCGTTGCTTAGCCGGAAATGTCCGTTAGCTGTGGAAAGATTTCTTGGTTGGTTTGTGGATATGGTGAAAGACGTTTGCTGACCATCTAATTTGTCAGGCCTAATTACCATAGAGCAACTTATCTATTTGTATTATTACACGGACGTTTGATATTTATCAGTCACAAAGGCAAAACCAAATGCTTCATCGGATTTCAGCTAGTTTCCAAATGTTTCCATCAAATACTGTCCGAATTGACACTTCCCCTTGAAACATTTGGCTTGTGCCAAGCCAGCCTTTTGTCGTGCAGTTAACGTGTGGAACTCCTTGCTAGCGGATGTTGCGAAGGGTCAAAAAAGAATTTGCTGAGTTCACGGCGCACGGGGCCCTCAGTGGTTATTCGACCCCCCCATGCGCCAGGGGTCCCTAAACCTCCACCTGCCAGCAGCTGACCCTGCTGACACAGACCAACCTAACGAGCCTCCAGTAACGAGCAGGCTTCATAGTCAGGACGCAGACCGATTCCCCAGCTCCTCGGGGGCAGGGGGGCAAAGCTGGAGGTCTCTGGGGGTGTTGCTCACAGTCCCGATCAGCAGCTCCGTGGCCACGTAACGAGTCAACATGTTAGCTGATTTGGGGGGAGGGGGCTCCGGAGGGGGGGGGGGGAGCAGGGCCTGTACTAACCCACTGCCCCTGTCCCCCTGCAGGCTTCCAGCGCCCCATCTATCTCCTTCACAAAGGCCACCCTGCCACCCACTGAGGGAGAAGCGGCGGACGCTCGGGCCCGGAGCCCCCCCGTTTTTTTCTTTGCATTGGAGGACAGTTGGGCTGAGCCCGTCGGACTGGGGGCGGGCAGGACTGGCCGCCGGGTGCCCCCCCAGCCCCAGGCGCCTGCGGGCAGACGGCCCGGCCTGGCCCGCAGGGTTTGCGCTCAGCGAATCCGCCCGGGAGAGGGGCTGCCCCCTGCTGGACACTGCTTCGCGCTGCAGCCTGGAGGAGATCTGCATGGGGGGGGTGCTACAGCTGCCGTGTGCTGAATACACAGCCCCCCCACCCTCTCCAGTTGGAGCTTGTACAGCTGTCGGGGGGAGGGGGGAAGGGGGCAGCTGTACAAGCTTCCCCCCCTCAAACAGCTCATCTCTCTGCAGCAGGGAGGGGAGGGGCCCTTTGCATCTATTGTTAGAGGGGGGAGACCAACCAGGGCAGCAGCTGCCTCAGTTTCCCTTCTGCTGTCAAAGGGGGGGCAGCGCTGCCCTGCTTTCTGAGGGCGGGCCCAGAGTGGTGCCGGTTGGATCCCTGGGCTGGTTCCCTCCTGGAGCTTGGGGGGGGGGGGGGTTTGTAGGGCCCCCCCTGCGTGTGACGTGGAGTTTTATCTTTACAGATGTTGATTCTATTATATATAAATAAAAGCTACCAATTATTGCCCCCGCGTGGCGCCTGGGGGGCGGCGAGAAGGAGCGAGACAGGATGCGGAGCAAGGCCGGAGGCAGCGTTTATTGGGGGGGGGCAGCAGGGGCTCCCATCTCCCTCCAGCGGTGGGTCAGGGCCGGGCCGTAGGAGCCCGGGGGGGCCCTGGGGCAGCACACCCGGAAGCCAGCTGGGCCTGGAAGCGGTGCCACACCTGCGGGGAGAGAACAGCAGGCTGAGGGGGGGGGCCCATGGCCCAGATGTGGGGGTGCAGTGGGCTGAAAAGGGGGGTGCATGGACCACACCACAGTGGGGGCTGGGCGGGGGGCACCTGGACCAGATGTGGAGGGACTGGTTGAGAAGGGGGGGCATGTGGACCAGACCATGGTGGGGGGAGAGACTAGTGGGCTGAAAACGGTGGGGAGGAACACAGACGAGACCACTAGAATGGGGGGAGCAGCCAGCTGAGCGGGGGGGGGGGGCACGTGAGCCAGACCATTAAAACAAACGGGGGGGGGGTCAGTGGGCTGAAAACAGTGGCAGGGACACACGGGCTATACCATTAGGACTGGGGACAACAGCGGGTGGCACGCACCATTGGGGAGAGGGGGGGAACAAACGGGACAGACCATTCGGGGGGGGGGCGGCGTTACCTGGGCGAGCGCCTCCGGCTGCCCCGCCCGCCGGGCCCAGGCGCTCAGGTTCCGGTCCAGCTGCCCCATCAGCCCGGCCGCCTCCTGCAGCTCCTGGGAGAACCGAGAGGGATGAGAACCAAAGCCAGGCCCCGGGGAGCCCCCCGCTGCGCCCCATGGTCCGGCCCGTTACCTGGGTGATGGTGTCCAGGTAACTCAGCTTCGCCCGTTCGAATTCCGCCGCCGACAGCCGCGGCCCGCTCGCGCCCGCCATCCCTGCCCGCGGGGCACGACGGGAAAAGGGCCTTGGCCGCCGCTGGGCCTCCTGGGAAATGGAGTCCCGTCGCGCAAGGGCGACTGGGACATATAGGCGCTTCCCCCCCCCCCCCACGTGCAGAGCCCTGTTCCCTGGAGCCCAGGAACTATGGGCTGTCTCCCCCCGCCCCTAGGAATGCTGGGAAACACAATCCACCACCCTGCCCGTGGGAGAGCCACAGCCCACGTGGGGCGCCCCAATGTTCAGGCACCGCAGCTGAGCCCAGAGGGGGGTTTATTGGGGGGCCGGGTACAAAGGGTGAGAACCACACGGGTCAGGGAGGGGCGAGGGGGCAGCCGCATCCCGGCCCCGCTAGGCCTCCCACTGCTGGAGCTTGCGGAACATGAGGAAGGTGGAGGCCGGGGGTCGGATCTGGGGCTGGAGCCGCAGGGGGGGCAGCCCCTCCACGCCCAGGTACGGGGTCTCCGCGACCAGCTCCTGGGGCTCGTAGAACATCAGCAGGTCCGGGCCTTCGGGGACGGGCTCCTGGGAAGGGGAGGAGACACCCCACTGGTGAGAACTAGAGCTGCCCCGAGCCAGCGCCTGCCCCATTCCCTGCCCCCCTGAGCCAGCCAGTCCCCACCCTGGGGCCAGTGCCCCCTAGAGGGGACAGGCCCCACTGAGGGTTACTCACCCTGCGGGGTTCAGGCTGCGATCGGACGAGTGACAGTTTCTCCTGCAGGGCGCAGCTCAGCACCTCCTCTGCGGGCACCTGCAGGCTCACGAGCCCCTGGTACAGCTGCTGCTCCCGGGGGATGTTCATACCTGGGCGAGCACAGAGAGGCTGGGAGTGAGGGGCACCGGCAGAGCTGAGGGGGGGCAAGGCTGGGCTGGCAGGGGCTGCGGGTTGGGAGTGAGGGGCACCGGCAGGGTTGGGGGGAGGCAAGGCTGGGCTGGCAGGGGCTGCGGGTTGGGAGTGAGGGGCACCGGCAGGGTTGG